AAGACAGGAGATGAACAGAGATGATTTGCCATTGCTTGTCTCTGCATAGCAACCCTGGACTTCCTTGGTGTGCTCCCATCCAAGTACTAACTAGGGCTGACCCTACTTAGCTTCCAAGTTCTGATGAGATCAGTCTAGCCTGGACATTCAGGTCAGGGCACAGTTTTAACTGTTAGCCAAACACTTCTGGTTCCTTTTGCTTGTAGGATCGGAGCATCTCCATGGAGCCCAATGGAGCAAATCCAACAGAATGTGCAGACACAATCCCAGTGCATTTTCCTAAATGGGATGGATAAACATTTAGTTCGGTGAGTAAACAATGTTCCCCAAGAAATGCATCCTTGCCACCATATGGGAACCCCCAAGGGAGGGGGAGTTAAGTGAACTGCAAGAGTGCCACTACTGCTGCTGCTATGGAATACTACTCATTGTTGAGCACATGTTGTGTTTGACTCTTTCCATGCCGTCATCCAACAGGGGGAGAACCCAGGATGGACCCTATAAAGTACTGAGAACGAAGCATAGCGTAGTGATTTCAGCTCATACTTTACTTAATAATCAGGACAACTTGAGATACAGTAGCTGGCCAGAGGCCGCTTTAAATACACACACAAACCACACCCAATACTCACACCCACACCCATGATAGGATTATATCCAAAGTAACTGCAACCATAGGTTCCCTTGAGGATCTGGGCGAGCCGATAGGCTGGTTCTAGGATCCTCTTCTTCTATTGTCTAGGGATGCAAAGGTTCCCTTGAGGATCTGGGCGAGCCGATAGGCTGGTTCTAGGATCCTCTTCTTCTATTGTCTAGGGATGCAAAGGTTCCCTTGAGGATCTGGGCGAGCCGATAGGCTGGTTCTAGGATCCTCTTCTTCTATTGTCTAGGGATGCGAAGCTAGACTCGTTCGCATGGCCACGTGGAAAGGCAATTAGTACACAACAGACCCCATTCATAGCACAGTGCCAACCCTCTGCCAGTCCTACAACACAACCAATGGCCACAGTGACCAGTGTACTTCCACCTGCCCTGCTGTGAAGTCATCAGTTCTTTTGCCCCAGCCTAGGTCCTGCAACACTGTAAGATGCTTAAAAGATTCTGACCAACAGTTCATTTGTGTCATGTTTGACTGGCTTTTTCCCCACAGCAGGACTCAAAACAGGGACATACTATGAGAGATGGTCCTGCAGGTATTTGGATCCCAAGCCATAAGGAATTTTTCAGTAAGAACGAACACCTTGAATTAAACCTGGCAGCTAATAGGGAACACAGCCTAACCTACCTCATAGTGTTGTTGTGATGATAAAACAGAGGAGAAAGGAATTATCTATACTATTCTAAATTTCTTAGAGGAAAAGTGGATTTTTTAGGAAAAAACTGATAGAAATGGAGTCATGGCTGTGTTGAACAAAAGGAACACCCAGCAATATAGAAAATGCACAGAATACACTCAGTGGAAGGGGAAAATAGAATTTTTATTTAATGGCATATTCACATGCTGGTTCCAAACAGCAGCCAACATATCAAGCAAAACCACTAAAATGAGCTTTCATTTAATTTCTAATAAAGACTAACATAAAAGTAAATGAAAAGTAAATGTGTGTGAAACTACATTCATGAAGTGTTGTTAAGCAGAGAAAAATAATAATAATAATACAAGACATTCATAAGTAAAGTGAAGGCCAGCAGAATACAATTTATAAAACAGCATAAAAAGATGTAAGAATAAACATAATAATATAAATAATAATAATAATAATAACAACAACAACAACAATAATAATAATAATAAAAATGGAAACAAAGAGCAAAAGCGGTCATGAAGAAAAAAGTGTTAAGGACAATTCATGTTAAAACTTAAGGCATCAAAGCATTAATAACAGTCAAAAGTAGACGGAAAGATGTCTGGGGGGAAATTAACTTAAAATAAACAAGGTGAAAAACCCTTCGTCTTTATGGACAGTAAAGAAGATATTGCACAAAACACCTATATGGTCAAGGGTAGCTGAGTGGAATGGTTCCATATCAGATCATTTATTTATTAACACGTTTGTATTCTGCCTTTCTGCCCAATTATGGCTTTTAATGCAGCAAAATTATAAAGATGATGCAAACCAACTTTTAAAACAGTGTATATACGTAAAAGCAGCAATTAAAAGAAACAAGAAGCAGCATTAATAAGGGAACACAAGACAAAACAGAAAAGTCTTAATTGGCTGGTAGAAGATGATGGAAGGGAGCAGATGAATCCCTGAGAAGTGAATCCCACCATTTGGGTCCCATGATGCTCTTTCTTGGGCTGCCACTCACCTCACCTCAGAAGATGGAGGCAATCAAAGCAGGGCTCCTAAAGACAATCATAATGGTGGGGAACTTTCATACGAAACTTGGTTGTACTTCAGGTATGCAGGTCCCAAGCCATATATGGCTTTAAAGATCAATATCAGCATCTTTAATGGGGCCCAGAAGCAAACTGACAGCCAGTACAGATGGAGCAAGACTGGAGTGAAATGGTCCCCATGACCTAGAATTCTGGCCATAGCATTCTGATGCTATCCCAACAGGGCTAAATATATCAGAGCTGCAAAGATGGCCCCTTGCTAGGGTGGACCAGACACATTTATCTGGGTACTTCAATACTTGAACTCCTAAGCTTACTTATGGAGTATTTTAAAATAAGTATCCACCTGGCATGATTTCTGTCATCACTTAGGTGCCAGGTAAAAACATCATTCCAGCTGGTGTTTCTTTAGTATGCTGGTCCCATGAGGTCAATCTCTCTTTTATGATGAAATGTAACTGGGGGAACTTATTATTTGGGGAAAGTGTTCTAGTCATTCCT